GCCATGCTGGCTGGGGAATTCTGGGAGTTGAAGTCCACACATCTTAAAGTTCCCAAGGTTGAGAAGCACTGAGCTAGACTCATTACTTGGAGGCTTGTTAGTAGTTGTGAGTTTTTGCAATGTACTGATTATAATTTTAAAACTTTGAGTGGGAGCCAGAATTTAATGGGCCAAGTATATTCATGGAGTAGAACATTCTTGTATCTTGGGTTTTCTCTAAGCTGTGAAAATGTTCCTGTAGAATTGGAGAGTCTTTGAAACACTGTCTAGAAGGGCTATGGAAAATTTCAAAGAAAAAGTGGATCAGTGAAAAACATCCTTCCATTCAGTGAAGATCATCTTTGCCACCATGATTAATATTTTCCTCTGCATGTAGGTGCAGTCGCTTAGAGAAGAGCTGGAATTAATAAAGTCAGAAAAAGAGCAACTCTCTTCTTCAATGGGAGACATCATTCAGGGAGCTGAGAGCTATAAGGTAAAGAGGCTTCATCTTTACCAGATGTATTTCAGGGACAAGCAGCTGTTTTGGTCTGGTATGCACAAGTGGAATTTTGAGAACATGTTAGAAGCATCCTCACAAAATGGCTGCCCTGGTGTGATGTGATCACTTACCAGACATCCATTTATCAGGGAAAAAAACCTGGGTGCCCCCAAAATGCTATTTCTTCTCGCTTTTTTCTGGACAGGTGGACCCAGGAGACTTTGAGCAGCAGTCACCCACTCTTTTCATTTTGAAAGAATGCTGAAGAGGAATGAATAGGGCTGAGAGGCATTTTTGGAAATAAATATGATGCTGGAGGCTGGTGCTTTGCTATGAAGTATACTAGCTCTCTGATTTTTTTTAATTAAAAAAAATATTTTAAAAGGAGGAGCCCAGCCGTCATGAAAAAGATGTTGTGAACCCATTGCTGATCTAAAATGTGATTGCTATTTAAATAAGCCACAATATAGTTGTAGTCAGATGTAGCAAAATAGAGTTTTCACACAAGATTACAGAAAACAAAATGTAGACTTACTTCCATTGGGGTAAGAAGTCAGTTTGTCTAACATGATGATAAGAGTGAAGAAAAAAATGCATGTTCCCTTGTACACGCATAATGCAATATGGACCTATACCTGTTCCAATAATGTTTTAAATTATATGTGTTTTCCAAGAACCTTTTATTAGAATTTGACAAGCAAGCAGAACAACTGGATTTTGAAAAGTCGCGAGCTCGTAATTTTGAGCATCAGATTGATGACGTGACCAAACAGCTGGAGAGTTCAGTTCAGCAGGTATTTTTTAATAAGATATACAAACACATTTGCTGCTAGTTTAGCATTTGGAAAACAGAGGATAAGACTAATTGGAAGAAATGGAGGGAGAAGTTGGGAAAACTGAGACAGCTCTTTAAAGCTCAAATGTAAGACCATCCTTTGACAGTAGGCTTCTGATTCTTTAGTCCAGCTCTCTATTTCCACTAGCGAATAGCCAAATGCCTATAGAAGGCTTATTGAAGTGCTGCTCTTGACTGTTCTCATCTTTTTTTTTTAATGAGAATTTTCTGTTTTGCAAGCAAGCTATTTGATATGATTTGTCCTTCACAGGCAGTCTCTTTGACAGAGAGGAAAAAGAAAACAGAGAATCAAAGGGAGGAAAACCTTCACTCACTTTGTACTCTGATCCTACCCAATGTTGACTTTAAGCCTACTCAGCCCTTGATGGAAAACTAGTAGGGAGCTTAGCTCTTGCTTCAGGAAATGCGAACATTTTAAATGATAGCTGGTTAGAAGTTCCCATATACAGAATCTAGTAACAGTTTGCCATCGTAACTATATTAACTTGTTACTTCTGTTATTTTAGCAAGATCAGTGGCGTTCTGCGAATGAAGACCTCTTGACTCGTGTTGAGACTCTTCAGACTAATGTCAAGCTGTTAGAAACCCAACTGTTAGAAATCCAGAAGGCCAAAGCAAAAAGTGATAAGGAACTTGAAGCTGAAAAGCTTCTAAAAGAACAAAAAATAAAGGTAAATAGCACTGTTATAAAAATAGAAAACAAAATAATTACTTTGATTATCTGAATTTAGAGCACAAACTATTTTTCCAGGACCATGCTAATGCTGTCAAAGAAGTAGAAGAATTTCAGGCACTACTACAGAAAGAAAAGAAGCATCTTCAGAAAGTTTTGGAAGAGCTAGAGTTGGCAAAGAAGGTAGACGAGTAATTTCCTTATTTGCTTGTCATGCTTCTAGTTACCTATTTGTCATCTTTTGAAATTGCTTGATTCTGGTAGGTTAAGAATCCTAACTTTTATTTGGATAATACTCAGCATGTTAAATTAGGATAGAAGAGAAATGGCTAACAACTTCTAGACCAGGAATAAAATTAAAATTGCAAATATAATGTGTGGAATGTTTTAATATGCAGGATGCTCAGAAGAGTACATTGATGGATATGGAAATAGCTGATTATGAGCGTTTTGTAAAAGAACTGAATCAAAAGATTACTGAAAAAAGTAGCAGAATTGAAGATCTTGAGCAAGAAATTAAAATGCAAAAGCAGAAGAACGAAATTCTACAGGAAGAAATCAGTAAGCAGCTTTTTAGAATTAAGCTTCTCTTTCTGCCTGTGGAAGGATATGTGTCAATTCAAGAGGGTTTTGAATTCTGATTCAAAATAATAAGCTATAAAACTGACGTATTGTAATTCAACTCAATAGCCTCCAGTTAACAGACAGGAATGCATGTTCCCAAAATGAATGTTGTTCTAGTGGTTAATATTGCCTAATAAGTTAAATGCTTATTTAAAAAGCTTTACTTAATGAAATATTGAGTTCTGTTGTTAGACTTAAAAACAGATCATTGAAACTTTTTGCAAAATTCTGTCCAATGATATGACCTACTATTGAAAACTGAAATAATAATAAAAAAAGAGAATCTTAAAATTTGCATAAACTCCTAAGTAGGAAAATCATGTTTCATGACATTTCTGCTGTTTTTCTAAACAAGTCAGTAGTAAGAATTATTTTGTTTATTAGAATCCTTCCAGAACTCTGTACACGAGCATGAGGAAAAGAACGCCAAGCTCAAACAATTATTGGTAAAAACAAAAAAAGAGTTGGCAGATTCAAAACAAGCAGTAAGTCTGTGTCTTCTACCATTTATTTTGCTTTACTGTCTTCTGACAACAGTATATAATATCATGTTTAAAAGCGTTATTATGGATAATTTCTTCCAGGAAAATGAACTTCTAAGACTTCAGGCATCCCTCAAGGGAGAACTAGAAGCCAGTCAGCAGCAAATGGAAGGTTATAAGGCAAGATCCCCTTTTTCCCCTTTTAGACTAGAAAAAAGACGGTATTGTGTCTACATGGATATTGTATCCAGTATCTGCTTGGAATGTGTATATCACAACTTCCCTTTCAACTCACTGAACAAATTTGAGCTCTGAATAACTGAATGTGTCTCCAGTTTCTTTTACCACCAGCAATACTGTGGATATTGCACTGGCTAGAAAATTTATTTTCATTGTGGGAATTGGAGTTCAGATGCTTTAAAATATGGTCACTTCATATATGTCAAGCATAAAGCACTCATCAGTTAAGTATTTAAAACGTGGATAGTAGTAGTTGTGATCCAACCAGTTTAAAGTCCCATTTAAAGAGGCATAAGTGCTTTCTGATAACTTCTGTTGTACTGATCTGTTTGAAATAAAGATGGCCTCTGAAAATGGCAAACTGGTTGTCCCCAGTGTGTTCATTTAAATCAGTATTTTTCAAACTTGGCAACTTTTAAGATTTGTGGGCTTCAGCTCCCAGAATTCCCCAGCCAGCATGATGATTAAATATAAGTAAATGAGGCTGAAAACTCAATTGCCCCAAAGAACCTCCATCTTGAGTGCACATGTGCAACAACCTTCTGTTTTATATTGTACTTCATTCCTCCTGATGTTTTGATTCTATATGAGCACAAGGAAAACCTATTTATGTAATAACATCTTTTTCTATCATAAAAACACTGTCTTCCTTGCTATGTGTGTTTTGAAAGTTGCAGTGAATTCAACTATGTGCTTATCTGCATTATACGTATAAATATTATATATTTTAATCTGTGTAATTTTACCTACAAGAACTCTCTGGATGTTCAGCTGAACATATTAATGTAGAGAATATGGGTAGTCCTCTTTAATGACCACTCATTCAGCAGTGTTCAGAGTTACGATGCCACTGAATGAGTGGTACTTATGACCAGTCCTCAAAGTTCCGGCCATTCCAGCACCCCCGCAGTGACGTGATCACAATCCAGGTGCTTGGCAAACAGCTTGCACTTAGGATGATTGCAGCCTCCCGTGGTCACGTGATTACCCTTTGCATCCTTCCCTGCTGGCTTCCCACAAGCAAAGTCATTGGGGAAGCCAGCAGGGAAGGTTGTAAGCTGCTCCAGTAAGTTGCTTGCACCCTCCCTGACCCGGCAGCAGCCACCCCTAGCACATGCTCATGCTGCTCCTCACAAGCTACCTGCACATCCTCCCCTATCTGGCAGCAAGCCACCTGGGACTCGCTTAACAATCCACACTCCTCACTTAACAACGGCAGTGGGGAGTGCCGGGATTGCCATCACTAAGTGATGTGGTCACATGATGTCACGCTTTACAACTGCATTGCTTAGCAATGGAAACTCCAGTCCCAATTATCATCATTAACCGAGGACTACCTGGTAGGGCTATGCACACAACCCACTCTCTACATTTCTGACCACTGGGTGGTTAGCTGAGGTTTTAAAGGAGAGTTGTGTGTATATTTGTGTTTGTCTACTTCGAAGTACAGATTCCCCTTCAGATCTCTAGACGAATATGTGGAAGTTGCCCTGAGTATAAGGAGCAGCGTGTCTACCCTGCCTTTTACAGAGGATCCCCGAATTGGGCCCAGATGCATGTGGAATTCCTGTCTTTAGAGGCAGTTCCTGAATTACACAAGAATTCCTTTCCAAGAACCTTTGCATAAGCTGATTTTTGCACATTTTGGATCCTGGGCTGCATGCATGTGCAAATACAGCTGCCACCATTTTGTACATGCATAAACATGGCAGCCTCCATTTTATGCATATGAAAAACAGCAGCAGCCATTTTTGCATCCCTTTGTGATCTACATGTCAGGATCTACATCAGTTGGGGACTTTTCCTGTACTGTACAGGAAAAGTGTTGTCTCGGTCATTCCTCTGTAAATTGGATTTGCTTACTTGGATGTAGCACTTCACGGCTTTGCCAGTCTTGAGTTTTGTTTGATTAAACTCCTCTTGCCACAATCATGTATATTAGCTCGCGATTCAAAACAGTGAATACAGCCACCTGATCAGCTGCTATACAAGAGGTGAAAGCTTTGATCCAGATGGCTCAGTTTACTATTATCCTTTAAAAAAAAATCATCTTGAGTGAACGAGAATCATTCTACTGAAATAAATATATTTTTGCAGATTCAGCTGTCTGAGCTAACTTCCGAAAAACATAAAATTCAGGAGCATCTGCGGACTTCGCTAGAGCAGCATCAGCGGGTTTTGAGTACTTACCAGCAGAAAGTAGCCGCTCTCCAAGAAGAATGTAGCACAGCAAAGGTATTTCAAGCTAACTTAGTCCGGTTCCCTCTAACAATTCCTCTGTGAACAATTCAGTAGGCATCTTAGAGGGTAAGGAAGATGTCCTCAATGGAGATGTTCAGGAACTGTTCCTTAGGCAAAAGGGGCTGAAAGTCCAGAGCAGCCAGATCCCATCTGGAAGTGGCTCAGGCAGAGGCCTCCCTAATTCAGTGGAATAGAAGAAGCGGGAGGAGGCACAGCACAGACTCGCAAGGTTCTGTTACTATGGCCAGTCTCAATAAAAATAGTTTTAGCCTTCTTACAGATCTCCTAGTCTGGCCCACCAGGTGGGACTGATATCAGCTTACAGTTGTTCAGGGTTTGCATTCAGTCATTTGGACCATGCATACTGTAGTGTTTAAGCACCTGGTGTTGAAGGCCTCTCAGATCAGTTTCCTACTGAATAGATGCCATGAGGGCAGCTTTGAAGAGTGCATATCAAAAGACAATAGAAAAGTTCTAACATGGTCAGCATGATGTATCACTTTCCTTAAGAAGTATTACTTCATCATCCATGCCTGTCACAACTAGGCCAGTTGGTACACGATTTGTCTCTTACATCCACTATTGTAAGCGTTTGGTATCTTTCCCTGTAGTATTATACCATTGCGCCAAAGGCTGCATAGACAAGGCGTGCCTTTCAGTTGATTGCAAGGTACTTAAACTGGGTATGGCACTGTGAAAAGCTATTTGTGTGTATGTTTTAGGCAGAAATACCAAGGTTTAATTCATAGGATTGTATAAAAAGTGGCTTTTAAAAATTCACCTTTTAAGTGTGTGTTCTATGGGAACTGACCCAAGAAGAACTAATTTACATTTTCAGTAGCTAGCTTGTTCTTGATAATAGTAGTTGAAGAAGCATAGACTCAATTTCCCGAAGACCATTTTGAAAAGCAGATGGAAAATCAAATTATGACAAGATGCTAAGAATACTTGTACTATGGGAGGCCTGTTTGAATAATCTGTGGAGTGCACTAGACTAAAAGATAGATACTCCATTTATAGCACAGTGCTTTTATGGGCTCTTTAACAAGCTCCTGAAGATTTAATGTGTAATTTTCAATCTTGTTTGCTTTTGCAGAATTGAATGACTCAGAATGTAATTATAACTAGGCTTTTGATGGATGTACCTTTTGAAAGGGACTGGTTTACGTCTGGATGTGTCATGGCAAAATCAGGCCTTGTAGGATTTTTGCCCTAGCTTGCATAGTAATTGTCCTGGGAAGCAGCTGGGTACACTTTGGTTACAAATAGCATTGTATTTATTCCATCATTCATGGTGTATGGGGAGGCTGTGAAATAATGTCAATACTAGTTTTGAAACAAAAGTTGTTTTTTTTTTGCTATTCACACAAAATTAGGCATACAGGTGAAACTCGAAAAATTAGAATATCGTGCAAATGTTCATTTATGTCAGTAAGGCAACTCAGAAGGTGAAACCATGTCATGTAATATTCTAATTTTCTGAGATTGTGAATTTGGGGTTTTCATAAGCTGTACTCCATAATCATCCCAATGATACCAAAGTAAGGCTTGTCATGTAATATTCTAATTTTCTGAGATTGTGAATTTGGGGTTTTCATAAGCTGTACTCCATAATCATCCCAATGATACCAAAGTAAGGCTTGTCATGTAATATTCTAATTTTCTGAGATTGTGAATTTGGGGTTTTCATAAGCTGTACTCCATAATCATCCCAATGATACCAAAGTAAGGCTTGTCATGTAATATTCTAATTTTCTGAGATTGTGAATTTGGGGTTTTCATAAGCTGTACTCCATAATCATCCCAATGATACCAAAGTAAGGCTTGTCATGTAATATTCTAATTTTCTGAGATTGTGAATTTGGGGTTTTCATAAGCTGTACTCCATAATCATCCCAATGATACCAAAGTAAGGCTTGTCATGTAATATTCTAATTTTCTGAGATTGTGAATTTGGGGTTTTCATAAGCTGTACTCCATAATCATCCCAATGATACCAAAGTAAGGCTTGTCATGTAATATTCTAATTTTCTGAGATTGTGAATTTGGGGTTTTCATAAGCTGTACTCCATAATCATCCCAATGATACCAAAGTAAGGCTTGTCATGTAATATTCTAATTTTCTGAGATTGTGAATTTGGGGTTTTCATAAGCTGTACTCCATAATCATCCCAATGATACCAAAGTAAGGCTACATAAATGAACATTTGCACAATATTCTAATTTTTCGAGTTTCACCTGTATATTCATTATATAAGAATAGTTTATCTTACAAAGATGAGGAAAGAGAAATAATTACGTGCTTCTTGTTTTTTTAAGTGAATATGTCAATTGAATCATAAGTGATTGTTTAACTGTTTATATAGAAAGTACAGGTAGTCCTCAACTTACAACAGCAGTTGGGATCGGAATTGGGACCGGGGTGCGGGCACAGGTCAGGGAGGGTGCGTAGAGCTGTGGCATGGGTCAGGGTTCATGGGGGTGCACGAGTGGCTGGCACGGCCACAGAGGTGCTGGGGGAGGGTGCGCAGGTGGGGGAGACTTACCCCAGCGACTTGCAATCTTCCTTGCTGGCTTCCCCCTTGACTTTCTGGGGAAGCCATCAGGGAAGATTGGAAATGGCAATCACATGATCATGGGATGCTGCACCATTTGTAAGTGTAAACTGGTTGCCAAGCACTCAGATTGTAAACAGGTGACACTAGGGGTGCTGGGATGGCCAGATCTCCAAGGACCGGTTGTAACCACCATTCGTTCAGCACCGTCATAACTTTCAACAGTCACTGAATGAATGGTTGTAGGTTGAGGACTACCTGTCATTATTTTCATTTTATCCTGTATCTCATTGCAGGCAGAACATTCTGCTGTAACCTCTGAGTTTGAAAACTACAAAGTCCGTGTTCATAATGTATTAAAACAGAAGAATAAATCTTCACAATCTGAAACTGATGTGACCAAACAAGAAAGGTAAGCTTTACATATAATGGGTTGAATTTTGTTTTGAATCAAATTTTTAATTCCAGGTTCAAGAATCACCTTTGAAGAAGGAAGGGTGGTTATCTAGACTTCACTACTTTTATAAAATCTAAATAATTTCTATTCTCATATTTTAAACAGAGAGTAATCAGTTGGCTATTTTTACCTTTAAAATTGGCTAAATGAGCTAATATGCTAGTAATCAGATTAGGTCTTCCTCTTGTTCTTTCTTCAAGAAAGGAATATAAAAGAAAATTTACAGTTTTTTCTGCCTATCCTCCCTTTCTTCTCTGTAAAGACCTCACCATAACTAAAATAACATCTAAAGAAGCAATATAGAGCTGTCTTAATAGTTGACCTTAAGTTTGTGTTTTATATAAAAATATGTCATGTCAGTGTGTTCCAGATCCAACATACTCTTTTTCAAGGAAAACCATAAACTAAAAGCTACAGTTCAATCCATATGTATATCTTAATGTAATAACTGGACAGCAGTACCTTAGATTCCCAAAGGGTCCATTTCTCCCAGAGATGGGAAACAAGAAAGATTCCCACAGCCTAGATGTTTTCCACAGCGATAATAGCAGAAAGTTAGTTTTGTTATCAGCCAAGCATCTTATCCAGAACCTTCTGCCTCCAACTGAAGCTTTCGGTGGCTTCCATGTTTTTTTGTTTTGCCATTTCATAAAGTCTGGTTCAAAGGTCGAGACCTCTCCAGGAAAGCAATCTCCTGCTCTGGCATACCATGCACGTGCACCAGAAGTTAGAGTAATAGATAGGACTCAACCCCTGCAGCATAATTTTTTGGCCCGTATGCATGCAGTAGCCACGAAACGTGGCATTTCTGTGTATGTTTCATGAGGTATGCATACTTGTGAATATATTTTTGGGATGTGGTTGCAGAAAATCAAATCATTCCTGTTACTACTGTTCTACAATTCTGTTACTTACTGATACAGATCCCATGGTGATATCCAATAAAATACAGAATAAACTGTTTTAGAGGCCTACAAAATAAATAAATGAATGAATATTAAATGTATTTGCTGCCTGACTCCCAGTGATTCTTGGTGCTATTTAAATAATTAAATAAAATCCCTTGAAACATTTAATGTGCCACATTCACCAAATGCTCAAAAAGGCCCAGTTCAAACTTGAGAGAGGACTTTTCATGAAGTTTCTTGTTCAGAATAGTTTAAATTGCTCACATGTAATTTATGGTAATAACTTGTAATAACTTGTAACAAGTTACACATTTTCTAATATTTTGTGAATATTTACTTTCTTTTAGAGAACACATGGAAAAGGTAATAGAACAACTGAAGATTAAATTGCAAGATACACAACATAACTTACAAATTAATGTGGTGGACCTTCAGACCTTGCAGTCGGAACATGATACATTGCTGGACAGGCACAATAAGATTCTTCAAGAGACTGTAGCAAAGGAAGCAGAGCTCCGAGAAAAGTATGTTTCCTTAGCATATACTTTTTCCTGTTGGCTTGTGACTTGCCATATTTTTTTTAATTATGAGTCCAAATATCTCCTAAAGTCAATATTCCTGTAATGGGAATATCTCTTAATAAAGTAATCTGTTAAGAGAAATGATCAACAGTGGTAATGTAGACATTCCTTCCTCTTAGTCTCAGGATATTTATTATTCTTTCTAATATTGAAACTTGGGGTGGGTGGGATGTTTTCCAGACTTTGCACAATACAATCTGAAAACATGGTGCTAAAGTCAGAACATGCACAGACTGTGAGTCAGCTGACAGCCCAGAATGAAGCTCTTCGGAATAGTTTCCGGGATCAAGTCAGGCACCTGCAAGAGGAGCACAGAAAGACTGTGGAAACATTACAACAGCAGCTATCTAAAGTTGAAACCCAGCTTTTTCAACTCCGAAATGAGCCAAGCACCAAAAGTAAGCTAGTGGGCCATTTGTCATTGAGGAAAAAATGAAAATTCAACAGAGGCTACCTGACAATTGTATTCATTTGCCTAAATTTAAATTAAGATTATTGTCTTCCCGAGGCACGTACATTTGAATAAACAATTTTAAGGTGAATTGTAATTGTTTTCACTAAATCAAGTGATTTATTATTTCATTGTGGTCTGTGAAGATTCAGCTGCAGTTTACTTCAGGTAGCAAAGTGAGAGGCCTCTCTGAAGAGTAATTTATATAATTGATAATTTAATGCAATGGCTTCATTTGCAACAAACAATGGGTAGTAATGGATTTTCTGCCTTAAAAACAAATATTTTGGAGCAGTTCTGTTCAGTAACTTGGTGTTTTTGATGCTGTTTTATTATATAATTTTATAGCGCTCATGTCATCCCCAACTAGTTGGGGGTCTAGTCAATTATTTTCTATTCATTTGTTTTTTTCAGATTCTGCTCCTTCCAATCTACCAACCAAAAGTTTGCGAGAACGAAGGAGCACTGACCTTCCTCTTCTTGATGTGCATGCTGTAACTAGAGAAGAAGGTGAAGGAATGGAAACCACTGACACAGAGTCTGTATCTTCTGCCAGTACCTATGTACCATCCTTAGAACAGCTTCTCAATACTCCAGAAATGAAATTTGGTAAGATGGCTATATGGTGGGATATGGGAGTTCAGAATTTATTTCTAGCACATTACCAGAATCATTCATTTGAAATATTTTATACCCTACCAACAAATTGAATATAATTTACTAGGCATTTAAAATATAATAAGTAGACAAATTATTAAGAGATATGCACAGTCTGATTGCTACTCTACCTCTGAATCTTTAGGCTATGCATTACTATGGGAATAAACTTGTTTATAATTCTCCATGGGTCTTCAGATGCTCCCAGTGCTGGGCTGCTTTTGAAATTTAGAGGAGAATGGCCTTGGCCTGACTATGTCTGCCAAATAGCCAGTTGTTAGCTCTTCAGGGTGCACGTTTCTTCATCTAGCTCAGTGTTTCTCAACCTCGGCAACTTTAAGACGTGTGGACTTCAATTTCCAGAATTCCCCAGCCAGCCATGCTGGCTGGGGGATTCTGGGAGTTGAAGTCCACACGTCAAAGTTGCCGAGGTTGAGAAACACTGAGCTAGCTGCTATTGGAGGTCTTTTGCATCTTCCACTAGAGCTAGAGATACAAGGGAACAAAACTCCTAAGTTCCCATTTGTGATGAAGTACCTTTGTCTTACAAATCTCTGCTGTTCTTAAACTGATGGTGCCAATTGATAGTATTCTAAATAGTTAGATGCAGAATTTTCATATATTATTTTTATAATGTTGACAAATTTAACAATTTTGACCAATATTAAGTATGTAAGCTTAATACTTGGAATGGCTGGTGGCTAGCATTCTGAAGGTTCATAAATTAAAAGGGTTTTGCTTTTGATATTGTTTGCAAGAGTGAGAATGGAAATTTGGACTTTAAAACTTTCAAAAAGTTTTAAAAATGCATATAACTTTGGGTTATAGCCATAAATTAGAATCCATATAGTTAAAAAATGTACTGAGCAAGCCAGAAATCGTCTCCTTGTAAACAATTTTAGAACCTCCACAATGGGAAGCAGAGCTCACAAAACAAGAGTTGATCCAGAAGTTAAATACAACATCAAAGAGCGCTGATCACTTAAGCGGATTGCTTCGTGAGTCAGAAGCAACCAATGTTATCCTAATGGAACAAATAAAGGTTAGTAGGCATATACGTACCATGCTCCAACTTAGATTAAAGGTATATCTGAATTTGATGACATTCTGCTCTTGTTTGCACAACTTGACAATTCACACACTAATTCGTTTTATTTAGGTATTTATATTTATCATATGAATCCTTTTATTAATTAGATTTTTTACATTTAGTTCATTTAATTAGTATAACCTATTTAGGGTTCCCCCCCCCCATTCACTCTATAATCATTATTTGATGTATAATCTTTTCTTTTGTATTAACCATTTTAAAAAAGCTATTTACAAAAAGCTCTAAGAAAACAAGGCATTGGTAGTTAGCTAAATGTAATGTTATTTCTGAGAATGTAAGGTAAATAATGTAGCCTCTCCCCTGTGTGTAGTTTGGCTCTGGGTGACTACATGGACGCATCGGGAGGTGTAAGGCCTGCAAAAGAGGAGAAAAGGCTGGAAGCTGCATTTAGGGGTAGAAGCATTTGACAGAGTCCATTACCTGATACGTTGTCCCGAGATTGACTGACGTGTGTCAGATGTTGGCCTGGAGTAGAAGTCAGTTTGTAGGTCCCAGCCTGGGTGAGAGTCATAGAGGTCTGAAGAAGTGAGAGACACTTCATCTCCCCAGCAACTCAGAGAGGCTGGTGTGTTTTCCCATCAAATGGGACACTTGAAATCAGAAAGAGCCCAGTGCAATGTTCCAGCTTCCAGACAGAGTTCTTTAAGATTGTTGGTCCACTTGGTTAATCCTTGCCTGACTGTGCGGAGGAATGTATTAGATTATACGAGAAATCAGGAAATTGTGAGTTTAACTCCCCTCAGCCTCAGACACATAGCTAATGATTAGGAATTGGGAGGAATATATTCAACAATACCTGAAGGACCACAGACTGACCCTTCCTGTCCCCAGTATTAAGTCTACATTAAGTATTAAGTCTACATTAAGTTTACGCTGGATCTTTTAACAGGGCAGTCCTGCGAATACTCTTCAGGGCTTTTTTCCTAATATAACTTTGTCTAATAAACTCCATGCTTTTTCATCTTCATTTTAAGAAATGTATTTCTTTGGTTTTCATTCTCAGCTTCTTAAAAGTGAAATAAGGCGATTAGAAAGAAACCAAGAACGAGAGAAATCTGTTGCTAATCTGGAATACTTGAAGAATGTTCTGTTACAGTTTATATTCCTAAAATCAGGCAGCGAGAGACAGAGGCTTCTTCCAGTAATAGACACTATGTTGCAACTAAGCCCAGAAGAAAAAGGGAAACTTGTCGCAATTGCTCAAGGTATGGGAGTCTATTTTGCTACTAGCATTATTAAAGGAAGGGACACCTGGCAACATTTGTTTGTGGTATATCTGCAACTAATCCTAACTTGTTTTCCTATATTTGAAACGGTTGAAAAAAGACTACTTAGCAAAAGCAATAGCACAATCTGAACTGCTGCTTCTAAGGAGCCATCTGTGACTCCTTACATTCAAATTATCGGAAACATTTAACTAATGACATGATTTTCTTTCTCAGAATGTTTTTTTAATGTATTCATTTTTTAAAAAAGCATTCAGCAGATGTGTCTGAAAATCATTGTCCAGTCAATGTGTATGCAATAAGAGAGGGTCTGTTTCATGGCAGATCCTTGACAATTCTTGCTTAACTCTGCCTTTGTAGATCCTCTATGCATGTGATGAAGTGAGCCACAGCTCACAAAAGTTTGTGCCTTTTAATAAAATGTGTTAGAAAAGTTGCTGTCAGACCCCTTCTGGTCTTTTGCCACCATAGACTAACACAGCTCTCCTACCATTGGTAATTACTTTGATTCTAATCACACTAATCATCTTAAGTATGCACATTAAAGATATGGTGTAATTTACTGAAGGATTGAATTGTGCTTTATGTCCTGTCATTTAAATCTGGGGCTTGATATTTAAAACCAGTATGGGTTGTGTTGTGTTGTGTTTTGTAAGGTGACGAAGAGAGCATGTCCCAGACCTCTGGATGGGCATCGTACTTACACAGCTGGTCAGGACTCCGATGAGTTCTCACTGTTCCAGCCTTCAAAATCTGCAGCTGCACTGGGAAGAATTTCCACCATGAAGAATGGACCATATACATATGTAGCATGGGTAACTCTTGTTTGGAGTCTTCTCCCCTGCCTCAGTTGGTTATTTTAAGAAATAATATTATTCTGAATAAGACTTGTTGAGGGACTTGAAGTAATGTCTTTTAGTCTCAGTTTCTGACTCCCTTTTTAGTGCAAGTATGGAAGTTTTCAGACATCCAATGAACTTCCCTCCCAGCAAGAGCTATCCTTTTCATTTACTGGTGGGACAGTTTTACATAACATGCTTTTTGTGGTTGGAGCTGCCTCATTCATCTGATAAATCTATAAGCTTTCACAGAGCAAAATTCTGTAGGTTTATTGACATTCCTGGATTGGGTTGTCTGACAGTAGCAGGCTTCCACAATCTGCTGTCCTCCGGTAATAGAATACAGCTTCTAAAATATTCAGCCAACATGGTCATTGGCTTTGTGGTTGGAATTCTGTGTGTTGCAGTTCAAAACATCCAGAGGGTATTAGCTTTGGAAGGCTGAACTCCCGCTTGCATCCTCCTTTTTATTTGTCTGGGAGAAGAAGTATGATTCAATTTGGTGATCTGTGGTAAGCCTATCATTGATAGAAAATGCTGACCACTGACTTCCTATGCCATTCAAAACATTGTTTCTTTAGTACCCAAAACTTAAAAAAAATAAGATTTTACTGAGGTTTAAAATTGGTTATTTTTCTGGAAGGGAAAGCTGAATGCAAAAATAAAGTGAATGTCTTCCCTTCATTCACTTTACTTAACCCTAAGAATTTTCCCAAGCTTATTTAATGATTCCTCAAATTAATTTCTACCCTCTTATGCTGGGATGTTGCTTTGACAGATTATTACAGTGTACTGTCAATTACTACTTGAGAAAGACTGAAAGCAAATTCTTTTAAAAATCACATTCAAAACAAATATGCATCATTAAAACATCAATTAGAAACTGCATTCTACTCTCATTCTCAGGACACATTGACACATTGCTTATGTTAGTGATATCTAAAGTTCAAAAGGGATAGAGCTTGCTATGGATGGCAAATCCAAAATATAATTGCTGGGGATTATATAAATTGAATATTATCCAAAGAAAAATACAGAAATGTAATCTCCAGTTTTATGGGTTTGTAAAGAAAGAATACCATTTTGCCACATCCAAACTTACCTTTGGATACTATCTGCTTCAGTATTGGATCTCTTTATGTACAAAGATGCTGAAATATATAGATGCTTGGATTTAAAGTCCACAAAACTTAATATCCATTAATAATTTAAAATCCATTTATTTCAATAAGTTTGACTGAAGCTGGGGGGCAAGCCATTGTTTGCAGAATATCTCAACCACCAGCCATATGTGCTGTCAGATAGGTTTCTGCCACAGTCCAGCACAAAACCAAGATGAATTAAGAAACAATTATCTTGGTACACTGGTTGTCTGCAGTGAAGAAGCTGCTGATGCTATTATGCCATATGTTGACTGTGAATGAAATCTGAACTTTGGGAGATCTCTGTTCTTGAAAGAAAAGATCTAGTGCATATTCACCAGCTTCCTCCATGAGTGAATATCCTGTATCTGAAAATAGTGTAATTATTACGTGAAAGAAGCAATATTGAGTCACTAAGAGATGACATCTGAATGGCAAAGCTATTTCAGAGATGCCTATCCAAGCAAATCAATATCTTTGTTGCCATCAGTTTTCATAGACATTCAAATATGAGTCAGGGGAAAATATTCCTCATCATTGAAGTATAACATGAGAACACAGCCCTCAGCTGTTCTGCCTAGTTCAGCACATTTTTACCACGTGCTACAGTGGCTGTCAAATTCCACCATTCTGAAAGTGTTTGGAAGGTGAGCTCAGTTTAAGTATGTAAAATGTTTCTCTTCAGTAATAATAATTGTGTGGCATTTCTTGATCATATCATAAGTCTCTTTGCTTAGTCTTGATAGCACTGGCAGTACGAAAGGGAAAGCTAAATATTGTGACTTTCAGATCCCAGCCTTCACACTTCAGCCATGTCTTTCACCATCCTGGTCTCCTCCAAATGTGCTGGAGTTCCTTTCCCAGAATTCTTAGCCAGCGTGGCCCAAAGAAACGAAATTGAATATCTGAGGAGCAGTAAGTGTGGAAAGCTGCTTGAAATGTTAAAGTTTGTCATTGAGTGCTCATTGACCTCATCCCAAACAATAGAATTGGATGTCTCCATTTTCCTTTTTAAAAAGTGTGAATTTTGTGAGTCAATAGTTTGGCTTGTCCCCTATCATGTACATTACATACTTAATCTGAGCAGGAAAATCTTTGAACTATCATTAATAGTTCACTATTTCCAGAATTAGCATAGCTGAATACTTTCTACTGATTATTTCCTTATCTGCACACTGTTAATAATAGCTGTGACAATATGAACTTTTTGTCTTTTTGGTCATTTCAAATCCTGTTTTTATTGTTTCAGACTGTGAATAAATTATGCATATAGCTTTGTTTATTACTTTTCATTTTCAGTTGTATGTTCAGTATATTAAAATACAAAACTTGTAAATGTAATGTGCCTTAAATATACTTTATACTTCAGAGAAAGATTTTGGATAATGTGATGGGGTGGGGATTCCAAATTAAAATAATGAGTGGAAAATGTAGCGTTTTGTAAGAGTTTGCTGGGCTGCTGTTTTTAGAATATATAAAGCTGTTTCCAGAGAAATGCAAAACAAAGTTAAGGGCACAGTCTTCTTGTCTCAGGAAGGCATCCAGAGGTTCACTGAATATAGTGGATCTCCTTCTCCTTCTTCTGGACAGACAGGACAGATCTATAACTACCGGGTGGGGTGGGAGGTGACAACATGTGTCATGATATCATGCGAATGACACGTATGGGTCAGACATTACAGTACTAGTTACATAATGTCATTTGTGTGCTGACAGAGACATTATCTTGACATCATCATGACCATCATCATGACCAATGGCTATGTCTGTCTGTAGGTGAAAGTCTCCCTCTATAAATCACCATCTCAATGGAGCAGTTATGTCCATTGACATCCCTTCTACAAGGTTAGTGTTCCGACAGTGGTGAGAGAGAAGAGGCACATGGAGGACTTCGGAAAAAATCATCCTTGTTCCCCCACAGTGGTAGGCCCCCCTGCAACTTGTGTGCTTATTTTTCTATACACACATAGAAACATTCTGCCGTAACCAGTGCAAACCTGGCAGAATTTTGGAAATGAGAATTTCACCACCAGATTTCCCTTCCCTAATTTTATTGTATTTCTTTTAAAAGTTACATAGTATTAGATCTGAGATTTATGGACAGTTGAGAACGACTACATTCTTGTTTCATAATTACTCTATTTCTTCTTTTCTAATGACTTTCTAATTGAAGGGACTTGCAACTTTTCAATTCTGTCTTGCAGAATATTGTTTCAGTTGATTACAGTCTCATAACCAAACTGAAATACTAATGAGGTAGCCTTGTTTTCCAATCTAATTTTACTAACAGGGCTGCAAATTACAAAAGGGGGCTGCCATGATATCCAATTACTTTCCCAAAGCCCAGCTACATGGTACATTCCTGTCTGTATTCTTAGAGAATACAGTGAGAAGCATTGCTTTTCTGCCCTTTCCAGTTTGGCTCATCTGTCACTGAAATATTTAAAGAGTCTTTCTGAGCTCCATACATCTGGTTTCTTTACAAAACATTGTATATAGCCAAACTATTTGCCCATTAGCAAGATAATACCAGACTTAACATAATTTGCATGGATTTAAACAAAGCTTCAAGACAGAAAAGTGATGTCTCAGTGCTTTCTTTTAATTTAATTGTTAGCTGTTTTAGATTAGCCCACACATGTGTTCTCTATCTTCTGCTGAAAAAACAGCATTCAAACCAGAACACAGTTACGACATCCTAGATTAATAAGTGTCATCTGAATAAGATCTGCTACACATTCTGAGCTCTTGCATAGTTTTAACGTAATAATTGCCTATATGCATATATTCTGACTGACACCTCCCCCAGAACCTTATGCTTCAGCTGATGGAAGAATGAGTGGGGAAAAAAAGTATCACCTACTTATCCCAGGTAACCTTAGCATGACTTAGCTGTCAGTCTGATGCAGCTTTAAAAAAAAGGGGGGAAGGCAATTAAACAATACTTTAAATGAATAATCAAAGCTAGATAGAGGGAAGTATCACAGAATATTGGAGAAGTTTACCTAGAATGTTATATCCCATTTTTTATCACCTGTGACAAATTGAGGATGGCACTAATGCAAACATTACTATGTGGAAATACTGCAGGAACAGAAAATTTGTGCAGCGTGCTATGGGGAAAAGAATTAACTTTGTTAATAGGCCAAGATAGAAAGTAGTAGCATACTACAGTTAGATCTGAGAAGGTCACCAAGAAGACAGACATTAGCTGTCCCTGGTCACCTGCAGACTTTCAAGGCCTCCATGTGTCGTGCTGCAGGAACCTAGGATATCTTGTCCAATTTCCTGTCACAATACCACTACTGTAATGGTGTTGTAGAAGAGTAAGTTCCACATGCCTCTTCCCTACACAGTTTTCAACAGGATCACTTGAAGCTTTCATCTGTTCCTCCCCCCAAACAGTAATGCTGGGACACTGACTCCTTGGAAACCTTAAGCAGGAGCGTGAGAGTGGAGGAGGTTGCATTCTCTTATCTTATGCTGGCCCAACAAAATTATGGATAGGATGGGTGACCAGTAGAACATGGCACAATTCCTGTGGGGACAGTTGTTTTTGTAAAGACAGCAAAGTTGCCATTTCCATGCACTAATGTGGGAGTAAGCAACCTGTGATCCTAGACCACACCACTTTTGGCTTCCCACAGTTCTCTTTGATCTTATGAATTTTAGCAGGACAGCGGTCAAAAATTGTTTCCATGATGTTTCCCGCCATCTTGGGATAGGAAAAAAAATTAGTGTAAGTTCTGGCATGATTTTAAAGGAAAATTGCTCAATCCTCCTTCAAACTGGAGGAATTAAAGAATAGCCCCAGCCTTCCCTACAAAACAGAGAGTCTGATTTCAGCCAAAGGCACATGAGATATTTAAAGATAATGTGGATTTGAAGATACAGATGGGCATGAAGTATTTTGCAGTATATTTCGGTCACATGGAGCTCTGATGTGTCAGTTGTGATTTACTGAGGTTGGGTTTGTGTGTTTTTTGGAGTCTTACCAAATGCCTACTAGAACATCAGGAGCTGCCAATACTGCACAGCTGCATATCTTTGACTTTTGTGTTCTGTACAGGATTACTGCCATAAATATTCCTAAAGCTAATGTGTTACACTGGCAGTACACTGCTTTTAAAAATAAGAAAGTTGCAGTGTTCTACCTAAATATGAGCACATCGTCAGTTCATAATATAGTAATATAATACCTTTTGGGTTTGTTGGATGCTAACCTAATATTTTAAACAAGTTGTTCTGTAATGTTAATGCATATGGGAATGAATATACAGTGGTACCTCGGGTTACAAACTTAATTCGTTCCGTGACTCTGGTCGCACCCCGAATTGGTCGCAAC